AGCCTGAGCCGTCCGAGCCGCCGAGCTTTTTTGCCTTCCCTAACCATAACCTATAAAGAATGTATTCAAATGTGCCAAATGATTTTAAAAACTTGTGAACAAAATAAGCACCAAAGTGTTTATGCATTAGCTGTACCATACAGTAAATTATGTCCAATCCTAAAATCGATAAGGTGAAGAAGCTTTCTCAGCAAAAGTGACAGTAGGGAAGATGACAGGTTAAGAAGGCTTCAAAAAACCGACAACTCGATGAAGCAAACTTGATGAGCTCTGATTCTTCATCAAATGATCAGGTGAGCTCCTCCTAGATGTTTTATTTTGGAAATAAAAGATGGGATCCAATGAATTCATCTTGCCCAAGAACTTTGCCCTTCTGACCAGTGCTATACTCCATTCTTCAATCAATTCACATTGAACAGAGCTGAGAAGCAAGCTTGACAACTCCCCTCATGGATGCGTCGTTCTGCACACAAATATATTATAAATTCTAACATTGTCATTGATTGTAACCTACATAACACTGAGAAGCAGAAGAAATTTTTAACTTTTGATGTCTGTTAGAAAAGTGGAGATAATCTTTTTCAGGGGACACGACAATAAGGTATGCCATAGAATATTGTGATCAAATATTAAAATTTACGAACTCGGACTTCCAGCAATTGAGGTTTGCATCATTTTTTTTTTCCTTTTCCAAGCACTGTTTTTTTGTTCCATAAAAGTATAAAAACAGATGAACATAGGTATCAAGATTCTAGTTTTACAAATGTCATGCGACAACCTTAATGGCTTAACAATTCATTTATCGATGGTACAAACATGACAGCCTTACTATCAGTTCATGAACATTACTTCAGAGAGAGAATGGAAAACATGTGTTTATCTAAGCTATGTACTCACCGTATACACAACATCAAAGGATTTTCGGTAGCTATCCCGAGAAATTTCAACATTATCATTCCTGCAACAAATACCTAACAAGGTTAAGCAACTACAAATATACCACCAATCATCAAGAATGACAGTATTTCCGAATACTAAAATGATAAATTAAAGATAAAATTTCTAACACCTGGATATACTGACTCAATATGTTTACAGGAGAGAATATCTTCTGATTATGCCTAGACGAACTGGTATGGTGACAGATTTCCAGTTCATTAACCATGCATCAAATGCACGCACTGATTTATAAATAGGCCAACAGTCAAAAGTGCTTGTCTGCACGTGTATTTGAGGACCATTTTGTTTTAACTTTTGGTGTTCAAGGATACAAGACGTTCTCTGACACCCATCAGGTCTCAGATAGAGACTGAGAGCTTTGAAGGGGATATTTTAAAATTTTAATAGTTCACATTTAACAGAGAAATGTGCTCGATACCAAATTTAGAGATTTAGTTAAACAAAAAATAGTATGATGGTTTTAAAAAGATATTCATCAGCTTAATAATTGGTTTTGAGAGTTCAACTCCAGAACAGGATACATTCTATATGACAAAATTTTGATACTTCTTCGGCAAAATGGTAGAGGATTCTAAATAAATTAAAAAAAAAAAAAATTCTAGTAATAAAGGACAATAAAATGGATGTTGGCCGCCTAAAAGTACAAAAGAGAGAGAGAACTGGTCTTATGGTCAGTTTCTGCCAAACTGGCAAACTGAAACCCATTTAAATTGCGGTATCGTGTCAAATTTTATTTGTAAATTCACAATCGCAAGGCCACTTCAAACACTAAGCCAATGTTGTTTATTTAATTGTCTATAAATAAACTCTGAGGAATTACTGGCCCAAAAGAAAGATGTGTGCCCAACTTAAATTGACAAAATGCTCCTTTCAACAACTTTTAAAACAAGATGAAAGCATATAAAGATTTAGTTATTGGTGACAAAATGTTCCTTTCAACAACTTCTAAAACAAGATGAAAGCATATAAAGATTTAGTTATTGGTGACTGCTCACATCTTCCCATTTTATCCAAAATAAAACACCTCTTAAGAAATAAATAAAAAATCTGAAGACCATATCAACTGCATGCTAAGAAGGCAGGTTCACTGAAGTAGTGAACATAAACTCACAGACGTTGATTTCTTGGATTTATAGGGAGAAATTGTTACTCACAAGAATCCCACAGAAATTCGTGTTTTGTAATTCAGACCATCAGACATTCCAAGATCTCCAATGTGATCACCGAGAAGTAACACATTAGTTCTCAGTTTCACCGAGGCATCGTCAACCAATCCATTGACATCACCCAATTGATCATGAACAGGTGCAGCCATATCAATTGCATGCTCATTCTTATTCAGTACATGTATAGTCTTCCCTGCAGCAAAAACAGACATTGGATAATATTTTCTAGAGAGGGAAATTGCATCTACAATCAGCCTTGGAGTAAGGTATTTTCTCAATGAATAAGTAATTGTCAGAGTGAAATCACGATATTTTTTGAAAAATCACTTCCAGTCAGGCAGATTAGAAAACACGCTCATAGTAGCACAATGATTCAGTTGATACTCTCTTATAAAAAGAAAACGATACCTTTAAACGATACTAGATTGCCATTCTGGTCAAAAACCATCCGGTTAGATACAATTTTAACATTCTTAAAAGACCTATGAAGTTTCTGTCTCAGCACCTGATAAAAGAGGCATCACACATAAGCAGCGGGCAATCAGATTTTTCATGAGATTAAACATCTAAAGAGAATCAAATAAGACCATCAAAGTTCCAAAAGCTTGCCTCTTCTATTATATCTGCAAGGCCAGCAGAAAATATGAGGACAGGGACATTGCTCTTCTGCAAGTAATAAGAGTAAAAATGTAAACTGGGTCCCTTGTTAAAAGACCAGTGGCATTTTCTATTACAGCAGAATGTAGACCTCATTGTATTAATATGAATTTCCAGAAACTTCATACCACAAATAAAATGCGCCATACTGCTACAACCCACTTAATTTGCATTTTCCTCAATATAGTCCCATAGCACCCATTCCAACACGTAAACGAGAAGCCCCAGAAGTGTAGATAATGTTTACCTCCAAAAGTTCAAAAAGTTCAATGACTCCATCCCTGAATGCAATCCTGGAGTTAGCCACAGAACTCTTTATAGCACCATATGTGAGTCCTCCCTCAATAAGAAGACCATGGGTTTTCTCCCACCTGTGTATATAGTATCAAACACTTACAGCTACTTCAGAGCCAACCACAATTTGTTTAGAGAAACCTAAAGTTCAATGGAAATATTTATAACAGCCAACAGACCCATTTTACAAGGGACAAACTGTCACGTTTAAGAACTTCTAATTTTCAATTGGAGCTTAAGACAGTATAATCTTGGTCATCTTATAGGTACAATAGCCAGCATCCGTTAGAAAATGGTTAATTCACATACCACTCTTCCATGAGTTTGGCTTTCTCATCAATCGGAATTGTTGGGTCAATTTCTAATGGATGATAATATTCGTATAATTTCTGCCTCTTGGCATCATACTCCGGATTCCCTTGTTGCAAAAGGCCGTGACTACCTACATATTTTTATTTTAATATAAGTCAGTAATTTGATTCCCATAAAAGGAGTAAAAATAATTGAACAAGCCTTTAAGTATATGCCTGCATTTGATACTACCGAAATAGAATAGAATTATATAAACAAGAGAACTATCACAAAGTGTAGAAGCAATAACATACTATGCCCTCGCTGACCTTCGACCCAATACTTGGTTAGTGTAGCGTCGAAATCTGCAATAACCTATCATTTTGAAGGAGAACATATGCTAAATAGTATATACATGATCAAGATGAAAAATAAAAGGAATTTTAATTTTAAAATAACATAGATAAAATAATATTTAACAAATTACAGGAAACAGAATTCTACAATAGCCTTGATGCAAATAATGATAAAATTTTGGAAGTCAAAATTAAAGATTATGAGTCCCAAGACGATAAGTTGTAAGTACTTTTGCTCAAAAAAGTGCTTGTGATCATCTGTTTTCCCATCAGTTTGTTCCTTTCATTTAAGAGTTTAGTTTGGTCACTTACAGATATTTAATAACTTTACGTCCTTTAGAATTTTACTGTTATTCAAGTTTTATTTGGAGTCCTCAGTCAATAGATATGTACTAGAAATAATTAATAATTAGTTCCCTAATTTAGACCATAATCCTCGTTTTAGAAGAAAAAATCTTTTGGGTCTACAAATACTTGTTTAATCACTTTATTTAGTATAAATGCTCATTACGAAGAATTGAATTATGTTGAGTGATTTTGTCTCACCCATGAGCCAGTAAAGTATTCCTCTCTCTTCTTCTTTCATCAGTTTAAGTGCTCTCGGCTAAATACAGCACCCAATAGTATTGCAGTCCTCCCGATCATAATCCATCCAACATTCGTCATATTCCATTAAGGCTAAATATTTCCTCTTTGTATTTGCCCCATGTTTTGACAAACTGAGCATAGAATGTTCTTAGTTGTTCTGCTGCTTAAATCAAACTTTGTGTTATATTTTAGGAGATAGACACCCTATGGCTTATAGTACAACAGGCCTTCATGTAGGCAAGGCATCAAGAGAGGAATTGTGCTATCAAATGCAAGCAACCAACATATATGTCCAAAAAGAACTATGTTAATACAAAAAGCCAGCCTGCAGCCCAGAAAACAAAAATTGGACTCAGAACATGAACATTTTAGATATTCCATTCACATCAATAAAATTACATGAAGTCAGTCCTCCTCATCCTTGCCCATTAACAGAATAAGAACTAATTTATATCTCTACCCCATGTTGATTTTTCTGTTTTATCAAAACTTAAAAGTTAGATGTACCAATTGTTGTAAATGCAAGACATGTCGTATGAACAACTCAGGGGCAGGGCCAGAAATAAAATTCAATGGTGGCAAGATTTAACATAAGATAAAAATGATAAAATATGGTAATTATGCACCATAATTAAATATGTTATACTTTTTGTTTTATTACATTGCAATTATTTCGTACGAGTGTTAAAACTTCGAAAATGTATTATAATGATCTCACTATCAATATCATTGAATATGGGTCTCCTTAGCCTCCATTATTCCCCATTAAATTACAATTTATTTTTCTCTCTTTTCTTATCAACCACACATTCTCAAATAAAATAATATTACAAGTAAATCCAAAATTTTTCCTTTTTTTAACTACATATTCTCCAAAAAATTACTATTACTCTCTTTATAATATGGAATAATGGGGGCCAAACGGGCGCTTAATATAAATGACCAAACTGTCATTCTTCCATTAATCTGCAATAAAAAAAATGGAACATCGTCTTTAGACTATCCCTCGCACTTTTGTCATCAATCGTTATTTCTTTCATTCTTTGGGTTTTTTAATGATAAAAATCTTCCAAAAAAATCTATTAGGTTGCTATTAAGAATATAAATTTGTCGCAATATGGATGCCTCCAGTAAGCTAAAAAATAAATAGATAATAGAAAAAAGAAAATTAATTAAAAATAGAAAATGAGTCATCTTCTTCAAGCCCCACCACCCCCACCCACTCACCCTAATATGAGTTTTATTCCTAAACAAACTATAGAAATCAAAAGATAAACAATTGCGATGGTCATGCTTAGAATTTTGAACTAACATAAAGTGTTAGGTTTAAGCATGGTTAAAAAGGGGTGAGGCGGTGGCAAAAGTATTTTCCAATTGAACGCAAAAGTATTTTCCAATTGAACCATGTTAGATCTTCTTTTGTAACAACTTGCTTCCAAATTCCATACAACATTTCTTTCACTCTTTTAGAAAAGAATGTTTTAAAAAATATTTTCAAGAACTTTGAGGAGTTGCTCAATTGGTTAGGCCTTGGATTTGCTCCCCGATGGTCACCAGTTCGAATCCCTCAGGGCCACTGAGGTGAGTACCCGGCTGTAAACTTCAGGGCCCTGTTATATGTTAAGATTTTTTAACCCTGAGGGGTTGCTCAATTGGTCAGGCCTTGGGTTTGCTCCCCAATGGTCACCAGTTCGAGTCCCCTCAGGGCCACTGAGGTGAGTACCCGGCCGTAAACTTCAATGCTCCGTGGCATTAGTCAATGTGCGCGTAAGCTGGTCCCGACATCCACGGTTATAAAAAAAAAACTATTTTCAAGGAAAATGTTAATCTGACAAAATGCTGAAAGTGCAACATAAAATGTAACATCAGTTGCTAAGTAAATGAAATACAATTAAACATTACAGCAGCATTCCAACTAAACTCTGTATAATTTTTTTATTTCTTTTTTCCGAAAAGGTTACTCTTTTTATCAAATTGTTTCGGGGAGTTCGCGCAACAAGCAAATTTCGTAATAATTACCCCAATTACTTAGCAATAGATCTCAACATTTATCAATTTGAACAATTAGGCCATGCTATAAAGAATCGAAATTTCCATAAAAGTAATAGAAGTGAGAGAACCTGAAGCATCGCAGGACCGTCGAGTCGAATATTCGATATTTTCGTTTGCAGTAATTCAGGGTCCCCCACCATTACTTCTGCGCCATCGGCCACAACTTGTTCCATATTTTCAGGTTGATTTATGTTTTTACAATCACCACTGCACCAAACCCTATAGGTATTTCTGTTATGCAGTATCTCTGTTAATTTTAAGAGTCGATCGTCGAATAACAATCATAAAGATCTATCGTCATGCAAATGTAGGCATGTGCTGCGTATAATTTATGCATACACTGACCTGAATTTGAGGTGAGAGAAAATAAAGGGAGGCAGAGGCTTGAAAATGCCAGTCCAGATGGGAAAGAAGGTATAACTCATGAGAGGGAGGAGATAGAGGACGCGCACTCTTTGCCACCGCATGGGCAATTGGAGTATGGGGATGGGATGGTTGGGTCGGCTCCGGGTTCGGATCCCATTGCCCAAGCCCAGCTTCGGCGGATCAGCGAACCTTTTGGCGCGCCGTTTAGAGCGGATAATGATTAAAATAATTTTATTTAATTTTTATTCAGCGTGTTTGGTTCAATTATTATTCAGACAAAATTAACGTGGGGGTATTTATCCTCATTTATTCAACCTATTATTCAAATTAATAAATTAAGAAATATTAGTCAAATTAAATTACGTAGATTTACTTACAACAAAATAAGATTAAGAATTTCACTTACAAGCAAAAAATAACTTATTAACTAAAAAATATTAATTATTAAGTAAAAAAAAACACTTATAATTAGAAAATTCATTTTTAAATAAAAAACTCATATATGAGTAAAAAAAACTTGTACATAAGTAAAAAAATCATTTATAAAATACAAATTCTGTGTATGACTAAAAAAATACTTAATAAGAAGAAAAATATTTAGAAGTTGAAAAATAAATGTATAACTAACACGTTGACTCATTAGTAAAAAAATACTTACAAGACAAATTCATTTACTATGTAAAACAAACTGCCAATAAGTAAAACATACAATTTATAATTAAAAAATTAATTATAAGTAAAAAGTTACTGTATATGTAAAAAAGTCACTTATAAATTAAAAAATACTTTTGTATAAAAAAATTGCTTCTACGTTAAAAAGATTACGTATAACTAAAAACTCACATATAAAATACGTACTAAAAAATCGCTTATACTTTAAAAATTCACTTATATATGAAAAATCCACTTATAAGTACACCATTTAACTATAAAAATTAAAAATAACTAAGAAAATTTTTACTTTTAAATTAAAAATTCACTTATATATAGATAATTTACTTATAAGTAAAAAATTCTCTCATGTTTTTTTTTTAACACAAGTGATAAAATGAGTAAATGTTGTAGATATTTAGTAAAATTAAAATGTATTGCTACTATAAAAAAATGTTGGAGAGAATTAATACCCACCTCATTCAGCAAAAAGAAAAAATGACCGAAGAAAGAGAGACAATATTTAAAAGTGGTTCGACAAAATGTCGACAAAGCTCGACGTACGCAGCACCTCCATTCGTATCATTTCTGCTTCTAATTTGAGTCAATCTCAACAAAAACAATATGTGCCATAAATTGGATTGTAAGTGATGCTACGAAAAATCGCACATGTCGAATTTTGAGTTTAACGATTGAGAATGAGCACGAATGTGGTCTTCCGGTACCTGAAATAAAGGTATTGAGGTGTGTTATCGTCGTCCCTCCGATACTTAAGTCAAAGAGAGAATACCAAAGAGTTTAGTGCTGAAATTATATGAAAAATGTACCTTAATAATGAATTGAAATGATGTATTTATAGAGGTAGGTAGTTTATTCATATTATGATTACAATGTTGAAATCCCTAGGAGTTCTACCATGATTGGAAGTTGCAACTTAATTGGTTTTGTATTACCTCACGTGTTTGGATAGAGATAGGACTCTGATGATAGAATCCTTTCAGAATGAAGTAACATATTAACAGCAGGACTCTACCTCTCTTAGGTTTGGATAAACCTTGGCAAGAGGAAGGGTCCTAATGAGTCAAAGGCTGCCTAGTACGAGGTTTAATTGTCATTTCGAGGAAGACGTATAGGGTCGAGAACAGACCATCCCAAGGAGATATGACCGAGAAGGTCATGAGGCATTTGAGCCAAAATGGAAAGCTACTCCTCGATTACAGTGCTCGAGCTCCACTTAGATTGGTATCATCAGTAATTAATGCAAGATAAACGATCACGCCCCTTGAACTGCATTGCCAACGTTTTTCATTTTCCTTTCCAAAACTTAAAAAATATTATTAACTGGTACAAATACTTCTTTTTGTTACTTGAAATTCTGCTCGTGCCTCTTCATAGTCTCATTTCTTGTATGGTTTTGTGCTATTTTTATTTAATTTGCATAGGGCCGTGGGTCGAGGGAACTACAACCGTCTAAGTTAGTTTTGATCAAACCCCTCGACCTCTTCTAGTCCATAAAATGTGTATTAAGATTCACGTCATTAGATTTGTCGATTATTGAAAAACACAATTAAAGTTATTTATTATGGTTTTTACAAGAAAGCAACATTTTCCTCAAGAAAACAAATCTTGTTTTTAATCCAATTATCAATATCCAAGAAATCCTAGGGCTGTAAGGAGTCTATCTTGAAACATACTCTAAGGTAAAGTAAGGTGAGACTTTTAGTTTTAATCCAACACTAACTCGTACCTAAGTCGTTCCTAAAAATAAGGATGACGAGTCCTATTAGGAATGGACTACTACCTAACTCTATAAATATGGGGCCTTGGATCATTATTCAAGTACGTTCTTTACAAATATTTTCAGCATATATATTTTCTCTCTATTCCCTCTCTGACTTAAGTATCGGAGGGGCGACGATGACACACCTCCATGCCTTTGTTTCAGGTACCGGAGGATCACGTTCATGCTCATTATAAGTCGTCAAGCTTGGAATTTACTAGGTGCAATTTTTGGTAGCATCATTGGCGCCGTCTGTGGCAAATCGCTACCAAAATTCATGGTGAATACACGCTCAGGTCTTCCTCTTGCAAGCTCATCCACTCCAAACCATCCACCCGGAATGCCAGATCCTCCACTAGTAATGGTCACTGCTGGTGCATTCGAAGAGCTTCGTCAACGAGTTGCGACCCTGACTCAGCTACTCAGCCAAGGAAACATTCCTTAAGCTCCAGCACCAGCACCAGCGCGTACACATACACCGGCATCGGAAAGAGGTGTCATGGCTGATGCTCGGGACACCTGTGACGCCCATGAGAACGGTAGATCTGGGGCCTCGGGCATACCCCCACCAACCTCGGTCTCGAGATTGGTAACTATAGATCACAAGAACTCGCTCGGATCATAAAAGATGGGATCGCAGCAGACTACAACAGAATACCAAGGAAGTGACAGGGTTTACCTCTAACACTCCGTTCACGCCGAAAGATCTTCCATATCCCCTCCCGGACAGGTTTACGTTCCCTTGCATGAAGGAGTATGATGGGACCACCGACCCTATCAACCATCTTAATGTTTACACAGACGTCATGAACTTACAGGTTGCGCCAGGCCAAGTAATGTATAACGCCTTTCCTCAAACATTGACCAACACTGCCAGGGATTGGTTCGCCACATTGGAACCTAACTTTATATCGTCATTCTCTGACCTTGCTAACAAGTTCTCCTCCTTCTTTACAAGTAGTAAGCGCATCAGGAAGATAGCGTCCACCCTCATGCAGCTCCGCCAGAGCTCGAATGAGACCTTACGTAACCTTATGACGAGATTCAATAAAGATAGGCTACAGATACTCGATCTTTACATTACAGCGGCTATTTCAGCTCTAACTTATGCGTTGAGGTGTGAAGCATTCAGGAAGGCTTTATCCAAGACGCTATCGAAGTCAGTGACTGAGCTTCTTACCTGAGGAGAAAAATACATCAATATGGAGGAGGTAACGAAGGCTAACCTGAGCTTTGAGAAGCCCCAACTTAAGAGACCGCACGAGCCGAACTTACGACAAGATCAGGCTCGAGACAAGCAGAATCAAGAGGACCACCTAGGCCATTCACCTATTTGAATACCTTTAAGTCCAACATACTGATGGAGATCAGGGATATGAAGGAGCTTAAATGGCTTCCTAGGTTACGATCTCCCCCGGAGACCAGGGACAAGAGCAAATATTGCGACTTCCACAAGGATCATGGGCATACAACCGAAGAGTGTATAGCATTGCAACGGGAGATTGAGGCCCTGTTTAGAAGATAATACTTGAATACGTATGTTAGGCACGATAAGCGTCTAAGGAATTATCATGACAAATGGAAGACCTCAGGTTCGGGGAGAGGTAACAAACCTACGGCTGGTACAATCAATATCATAGCTTGAGAGATATGTTGGGAAGACCACGGCCAAGGCCTTAGAATTCTGACAACCTCATAGTTTATTACAAGTAGTAATCCCCACCTTTTCTATTTAATCAAGTTATTTTTGGGCTTGCATGCCTTATGCATTTTTCTGGTTCATAGTTAGTTAATTTTTCATCGGGTGTACATGCCCCCCGCATTTTTCTCTTTAGTGGTTCATTCAGCAAGGCATACAAGTCTGTACTTGTTTAGATCATAGGAAAGCTTACATGAAGTAACCGTTGGGAATGTCCCAACAAATTTTTTTAAGTGTTTTTCCCTAAAGACCTGTCAAGAGTAGGCACCTTCGAGACATGCTACGGGCATGCACCATAAAAATTTGCCACGAGCAGACACCTCAAAACATGCCACAAGCATCCACTATAAAGACCTATCACGAGCAGGCACTTTCAGACATGTTACGGGCATGAGTTCAAAAAAAGATCTGTTACAAACAGGCACCTTCGAGACATGTTACGGGCATGAGCTAAAAAAAAAGACCTGTCACGAGCAGGCACCTTCAAGACATGCTACGGGCATGAGCTAAAAAAAACACCTACCACGAGCAGGCACTTCAAAGGATGCTCGAGCATGATCATTCCTAGAAACATAATCTTGGACCAATATGTCCTCAAACATAGCTCGAGCTCGAGATTGTCTCAGATTGAACCTATCCTCGAGCTTAGAGCTTTATCAAAATGATAACTTAGTCATTAAACTTATCCTCAAGTTCAGATGTTCATAAAAAAGAAACCCATTATATGATAATCAAGATTAAATTAATGATCTAGCCGTCGAGCAAATGAATGCTAATTGAGTCACGATCGAGCTCAATAACTTAATTAACTAAGCTATCGTCGAGCTCAATCCTTAATTGTAAAATCGTTGAGCTTGTTACTTTGAAATTTAATTGATTACGTGAGCTCGACAATTCCAAAAAATGCAATCTTGGATTAAGAAGTCATCGGAGAATTCTCGAGCTCGAGACTACAATAATTGAATACGTAGTCCTCGAGCTCGAACATTCCAAAAGTTACAATCTTAGATTAAGAAGTCCTTGGAGAATGCTCGAGCTCGAGACTACAATTGATTATGTAGTCCTCGATCCTAAGACCATCAAAAACTTAATTGATTACGTAGTCCTCGAGCTCGACCATTCCAAAAAAAACAATCTTGGATTAAGAAGTCCTCGGAGAACGCTCGAGCTCGAGACTACAGTTGATTACATAGTCCTTGATCTCAAGACCTTGTCAAAAACTTAATTGATTACGTAGTCCTCGAGCTCGACCATTCCAAAAATTACAATCTTGGATTAAGAAGTCCTCGAAGAATGCTAGAGACTACGATTGATTACGTAGTCCTCGATCTCAAGACTTTGTCAAAAACCTAATTGATTACGTAGTCCCCGAGCTCAAAACTTAGTCAAAAAATCAATTAGCTGTCTGGTCGTCGAGATCATTAATCATATGGTCGTCACGATCAAAACTTGATCAAAAAATCAATCAATTGTTTGTTCGTCGTGATCATTAATTGTGTTATCGTCGAGCCTAAATACTAAATTAGTCATCGTGCTTATTAACCATTCAAAGGTCAAGACAAACACATACGACAATATACCTCGAGTTAACATCCAAAATCCCTGGGGTCGAACAATGTACTTAACAAAAATTAAAGACATAAAGGCCTAATGCTCCGTCAATGTACATGATCAAAACTCAAAAAATTACAAAAGCTCCAAACAAAAGGTCAGGGGAATGGGGGCCTAATCTATATCATCGTGCTCTGGGGCCTCATCAGATGCCACGATATCAACATTGCCCTCATCCTCGACACCGGTCTCTTCAGAGTCCGAGGCTATCAACCATAAAACTATTTCTCTTTCCAACCCTTCAAGGAACTAGGTAAGGTCGGGATCCTAAACCCATCTCGGGTAGAAAGGTAAGCAAAACAGGTGAATTGTGGGAGCTGCTTGAGCTCGAACACCATTCGACAAAGGTTGAGGTATTGAGTAATGCCCAGGTACCTACACACTATGAAAAAGTAAATGAACATCTTCCATGCATTGGGCACTAGTTGTCCCGCGCACATGGAGTGCTCCCACTCGCCTAGCTCATGTGCATCTACATCTAATTCTCTAGCTTTAGGAGTGGATACACAGGGGCCAGTAATGTGGTCATTATGGTGCACTTCGAGCATGAGGACTGCCAAGGCTCCCCATTCTCAATTATGGGACCCACATTCTTGGGCGTGATAGTCCTCGGGATACCTCGAGGATTGATCCCATGACTACCCACAAGATTACATTGGTCGTCCTCATGATGTGTGGTCGGGCATTTGCCTTAGCCAACTTCCCAAGGTACTCTATGATCGAGCGTTGATAGTCCTTACCCCGTAAGGACTCTAACCCTATCCAATTACCAATATCCAAGAAGTCCTAGGGCTGTAAGGAGTCTATCTTGAAACATACTCTAAGGTAAAGTAAGGTGAGACTTTTAGTTTTAATCCAATACTAACTCCTACCTAAGTCATTCCTAAAAATAAGGATGACGAGTCCTATTAGGAGTGGACTACTACCTAACTCTATAAATATGGGGCCTTAGATCATTATTCAAGTACGTTCTTTCCACGTATTTTCAGCATATATATGTTCTCTATATTATCTCTCTAACTGAAGTATCGGAGGGACGACGAGGACACAGCTACACGCCTTTGTTTCAGGTACGATCATGTTCGTGCTCATTATAAGTCGTCAAGCTTGGAATTCACTAGGTGCAATTTTTGGTAGCATCAATTATTATTATTATTATTATTATAGGTGTACTGCATCATATTAATTTGTTACGTTTTTTCTTAAGTACGAAAAGACTTATAAAAGGACATGCGTCTACATTTCTTAAGATATCAATAGTAATTAAGCCACTCAACCATTTTAACACGAAAAGTTTGTCACCAATTTTTAGCTTGAATTACACGGCATTGACTTGAAACATATTTGAGGAAAAAGAGAATCTATAATTGACTCTACAAATATCTCTTCTTCTTACTCTTTTCGGGCTGTAGCATTCATTCCTCAAATACGTTAAACAAATTTACTAGAGGTGTTTTTTTTCCCCTTCTTTTTCTTTTGATAAATCTAATTGGAGTAAATTCATTTTGGACATTGTATTTAATTCAAAATTAATACTTATTCGGAAAAGTAATAGCTTGTTGTATACCATATTTACAGATAGCGGTAATAAGAGAATCTATATTGACTACACAATCGAACCATCGCAATAGTAATCGTTGAAAAATGAGAAAATATCTTACATACTGAATAATATTGTTTAGTCTCATTAATGTTTTAACAACATTATAGCTATTGTAATTGTTGAAAAATAAGAAAATATCTTATTTTTAAAAACAAATAATGCATTTCGATTACATTTTTCAAACAAGTGACAGAACACATTGACAAAATTAATATAATTCGATAACCAGTGAAATCAATAACACATTTACTCTTTGATTAAAATGAAGCCAAAAAAAAAAAAAATCTATGAATCTAATGAAAAGCAACTATCAACCTTATAATTGAGTAGGTGATGAATTTACCAGTACCTCTACAAGAGGAGTTGGTAATGGCGAGTTTCTACAAATAGGACAAGTAGGATTTACCTTTAGCCAATGATCAATGCATTTGCGGTGAAAGAAGTGGCTACAATCAGGCAGCAGCCTCAGCAAATCCGTGTCTTTGTAGTCAGCCAAGCAAATGGAGCAAGCAGAAGCTGTGGAGTCACATTTATGGGGTTTGAGTTTGGAGTATATGAATTGTGGGTAGGTAGAGATGGTGATTTCATCGAGGCCGTGTCGACGCCACAAGTCTTCGTCCGTGGTAGCGGTGGGGCTTACGTGGGTGGAAAAGCGGTGGTTGTTGAGATTGGCGCCGCCGTGTATACGGGTGCACATGTAGGAGGCATAGGTGATGATCACAAATATTACGAGGATCCCGAGGGAGAGCCCGATGCCGTACCCGAAGCCACCCACAGTTTGGCCTGTTGCATTCTCAGGGCCTTCCATTGCTTCCAATGTAGTATTCATTTTCTTGATTTACAGGTCTAGAATTGGCCCTGCTCGTTGTCGAGGAAAAAAGTGATGCGATGGGATAGACGAAACAATCTTCTTCTATTCGATGGATTGGGGTGATGTGGTATGGCTTGATCAAATATGGAAGAAATTATGAGGGTTGGGGTGTTTAAAAAGATGAAAGAGTTGACAATTGGGATGGCTTGAAAGGGGGTGGTGGCTATTGGTTTCTTACTTGAGGAGATCATTTTCTCTAGTTAATTTGCTACTTGGCTAGTCTGTACTGTAACTCTAAGTTGTCAACTGTCTGTGGCATTTTCAAAGGGTTGAAGATTGTAAAATGAGATTTTTAAAATATCTTCACTTCACTATGTACCAATCATGTCGACCCTTTACTTAACTTGATCGAGTTAGCATGAACTCTAAAAAAATTCCATAAGATTCTATTGATCTAAGTGTATTCATTTTTTATCAAAATTATTTTTAAGACATCAAATTAGAGAATTAATAACATATTTGATCAAAACGATCGAACATAATACACAATTCACTTTATCAAACGAGCAGTTAGTGTGCCGACTTTATGTCTTCTTTTATTTGATTTGATTTCATCTAAGATAACTTAAAATAGTATTACACTCAACCTTTTCGCGTCAAGAAACAGCCCAGATGTATGAAAGTAGATGATCACCAAAAGCTATTTAAATACTCACAAAATTAGAAACCTAAAACCATTCAATAAACATAGGATTCAATGCAAGAAAAGGGTATTGATTAATTTGTGTTGCAGCCTCCTGTTTCAAATATTTAAAAATCAATTAATTCTGCCCCACAAGTTGACTGCATACTTTACCGAACTCTTAGCACATTCCCCTGTTTCCTGTTTGGCCCCCATTAAATTAAATTACATTACATTAATCTTTTCTCTTTTTTCATTACAACCACACATTCATCAAATAAAATAATATTACACACAAATCTAAAACTTTTCATTATTTTTTCACCACACATTCTCCCATCAATCACTATTCCAAAAATTTTCAATTATCAAAAATGCCAAATAATGGGGGCCAAACAAGGGCTAATAAAAATTAATAAGTGAAAATTAAATAATCAGATTAATTTCCATTTGCTGGTTGTGGACTTCTGAGTAGTTCACCTTTGGATAACCATGCCTAGCCCGGTGAAACTTTTAGTATTGTGCTGCAACTTGGATGCTGATGTTAAAGTCTTAAATTTTTTTAAATTCACAACTTTATCGTAGATTTGAAAATCAGCAGATGAGTCGAGTTGTGTAAGATGGCTGCCCTAGAGGGTCGTGAAACACTCTAGTAAGTTATGTAAACGGAAAAATAAATAGTGAAAACTAATGTGAATAATGTATATAGTGTACAGAGAACTGATCTGTCATATAATATTTGGTGTGTTGTTTATGTATTTATATAAGATAAAAATGTTTCATTGCGTGACACTTTATATTCTTTTAACCAACTCAGCTTCGTCAAAGGGTTGAGTGAGTCGAACGATCATGTATTTTTTCCACTAATAATATAAATGAACAAGAAATTATTATAGGTCCGTCCAAATGATTTAATTAATGGTAATGGATTGCGTTTGGGTGTGCACAAGTCCTCCTTTGTAATACTTAATTGGGCATGCCCACTAATGGCAATAACCTTGTCTCGTAATGAATTTTTAATTATTTACTAAATTTATCTTATCCCTTATTATTGAAGGATATCGTAAAACGTGACGGTAAGAAAAATAAATAAAAATAATAGTGAGTCTTAATGCTGCCAAAGCCGAAGCGATCTTTACACTAGGGTAGGGCTATTTATGTGTTATTAGGTCATTTGGACTGGTAATGAAGCTTCCATGAGGCATAAGAAGCCCACTAACAAAATAATATACGAGGAAATTACACAAAACCCTGTATTTCAAGATTCAACTTAAAAAATCAGGGTGAGGATTTTTTTGTTCAAAAATCAGGTATTTGATATTTTAAATATTAAATATACAAGTTTCACCCTCAAACCCTAAAAATCAAATACCACTCTCATATCCCTCTTTCTCTCTCTTCCCGTCACCTCTCCCTCTCATCTCCCCCTCGCACGTGGCCGCCGTTGACGAAGTCCACAACAGAGGGCGACGGCTCTCAAGCGACGCGTCCCAGCATCTCTTGCAACCGCCGATCTGTACGGTGGTCGTCCGTACCCGCTCTCATCGAACTGAAACTCATCCCCAATCGAAGACGACAAGCGGTAGCTGCAGTAGTGTCACATCAGAACGCCCTTATTTGACTGCTACAAGGGCATCAACACCAGCAGACGCAGTGGTGCTCACTGCTCGAAGTGGCGCAACAGTATTTTTTGGGTATTTTTCGTATTTGATTCATAGTACGGTGGTCAACAGTGGTGATGGTAGTTCTTGTGGCGGGTGCTTTGCGTGTGAGATAGCACATGTGATGTGATCTGGTTGTGGTTGTTGCATATTAGATTCGAAGAAATAAATCGACAGTTGTGGTTGTTGGTGGCGGCTGCGACCCCGGTGGTGGAGTGGGACGATTGATGTAGCTGTTGCGGTGGTGGTGGATCTTGGTGATGGTGGTGTTTTGTGCAACGGCTATTTAACTGTGGTGGCGAATCTGGTTGTTTTT